AACAACAACAACAACAACAACAACAACAACAACAACAACAACAACAAGAACAAGAAAAACGAAACCATCAGGATAGTAGGATCTCCAATGAGGTCAGTTTTTTTGGTTGCTTTTTTTGGTTCTGCATGCCACCTTTCCTGCACATCTGCCATCTCGAACGCCTCAGGTATGACGTTCCCGCGGACATTGGCCACATGGTGCCTACACCGCCGCATCACTGGGGCACATGGCTGGATGGAATTCTGATGTCACCGTTGCCTGCCACACCCCTTGTTTTCACCTGGGACGCCCGAAGGGCCACCCCCACTCACGCCTCCCGAGGCATTTTTTCCAGGGCTTCCCCCTCCAGGTGCTTTACCTGCAACCCCCCAGAAGCTTTGCCACAAACTCCACGCGCCGTGCTGGTGGGCGCGTGATGATTTCGGAGCCTTGTGGCAAGGAAAAGAGTGCCGATGAGCTTGGGGTCACGTGAAAGCTTGTAGGTCACAACTCACACTTGGAACTCCTGGCTGTCTAAAGAAAATATTTCCACAACTGCATAAGCACATGTCCTTCAAGTCAGCATGCAAAAGGTCTTTTGTCTTCTTCATGGCTTGATTCAACGCAAATGTTTGGTCTGCTTCTGCGCTTACCACTGTCTGGCTGCAGCTGCTTGTCTCAATTTCTCTGACATTCCCGCAAGTGCGTACCTTCCTTTGGCCAAACATGGTTTCTATCGACCCTGGCAACATCAGGCTGCAGGATGCTATCGGCGCCACCTCGGCTATGTCTCTACGTAACTTGCCAGATCATGTTTGTGTCGGTCCCATGCTTCCAGGATCCATCACCACCTTGGATCTGCCACTGCGAGACCTTGACTCAAACTCACTTGGGCTCCGCCACTTCGTGGACAAGGTGCTGGACATCGAACCTTCTCAGGTGGAATGGAACCATATCAAAGCCAGTGTGAGAGATCATGCGTGGCACGAACTGGCGGCAGTGATGCAGTTGAAGTTGCGGCCTGCCTGTGCGCGTCACCTCCGACAAGATGAAGGTGAAGGGGGCCTACATCAAAACCCTTCTCCAAGGCCAATGAACTTCAGTGGGGCGGGGCCAACAAGAAACTTGCCCGAAAAAGGCTTTCAATGGCTTGTAGAACAGCTTGGCGGAAGCCAGATTCGACGCTCCTCCTTGGGTCCAGAGGTCAGGGTTGTGAAGCCTAAAGCGCCAGAACTGATGAGGCAGCGTGGAACTTCTTGATGGAACATGGTGAGTTGGGTTGAAGCAACTCCGCTGGGTTCATGCTCAGATCAATGATCCCCAGTCACCCATCCACAAAAAGCTAGTGCAGCGTGCTTTGGATTCCTTGGCGAACGATGGGTGTGTTGCGAAGCTGTCCACTAGGTACGATCTCACGATGCGTGATGTAATGCGGGCCTGACGTCCGGGAAATCGTGGAGATCATTGTGCCAGTTCTTCGCACTCATTCTTTGTGGTTGTTGGGTGAGCCAGGCAAAGGGAAAACGCCCTTGGGAAGAATTGTGGCTATGGTGATTAGTCGATTTCACGTTGGAGATGGCGCCTACTGCCTACCGTTCTACAAATGATCTGGATTTCTTCAAGGACATCCAATTCACTCCGGCAATTCCCGCTCTCTATGATGATGGAGACATTGGGGGCGAGGCAGTGAAGAAAAAGAAAGCTTTTGCAGATGTTGCAGATGAGGAAGCCATGATCAGAGAGCGGTGGACCAACTCGAAATTTGTGAGACATCAGCTTCGCATTGTCTTAGACAATGCCTACAATCCTGAGAGGCCGAACCTGAAGACGACTTGACAGAGACAGCCTGAGTGACCGTTCAGTGCGAGGACTTCTTCTGCGTGATGCGCCCTGCTCTGGGCTATATCTGGTTGACTGGTGCAGTGGCTGTCCTCAAGCGCGCCGTCGTCATCTTCTCCAAGAAATTCATCTATTTTTGCTTGCCTTCGCAGCAGGTGATGTCCGTCAAGCGCACCTGCGGGCCGAAACCGGACACCCTCAAAAACCCCTGCAAGCCAGTCTTGAAGAACTTCTTGGAGGGTGGCCCAGCTTCAGCGTCTCGTCCGCGCTCCCCGGCCCACCCATTATACATGTGTGCGCCAAAACCCCTGCGCTTCTCTGCAGTGTCTGTCCTTGTTCATCTTCATAACCCTTGCCCTGTCTGCAGGCTCAGGCATTTCCGCAAGGCCGAGGACAACGACTTCAGAAGGAGCCCGAGGACAGGCGTGCTTGGTTTGCAAATGAGTGTCGCAGATCTCCGGTCGACGTGGGCGCTGGTGTAGCTAGCCATGGGTGGACAAATTGGGAAATCAAGAAGGAGCCACTGACCAAGTTTGCCAATCCTCCAACCAGACGCCCCACCACAGTGCTTGAATTGGACACTCCTCGCCAGCGAAACGGCCTCGGACAGAAACATCCCTACCTTCCTTGCCTTCCCTGCCTTCCTGTCGTGAACCCTGGAAGCACCGAGTTGGGCCTTCCTGAAGATGAGGAACATGAAGCGATGGATTTGGATGAAATGGATGGTGGGCGAAGCTTCTGATGATGAGTAGTCGACTGCTTACTGATGACACGTCCAATTTTGCATCTTTCGGTTCTGAGCCGCTCTTCGCTTCGATGATCACTGATTGGGATAGTAGATAGAACGTGATACAACTGGCTTGTTTGAGAACTAAGCTGCCGTGTAGCTGTTCCATGTGTTGCGACATGAACGCACGAGTCTCAATGAGTGGCTTTTGCGTAGCTATAAAAGCCTCATATGCTTCGCGCAACAGTGGCTTCTAAGTTTGCGTTTCCTCAAGCAACGTGTGTTAGCTAGAAGAAGTCAGCCTTGTCGCAAGCCTTGCTGTTGTCGTGTTGTCTGCAAAGCTCCGCAGATCACTGTATCATGTCTCAGCCTCACACACAAAACCGAAGGCCTGAAAGTGAAAAAAATTGTGTGATTTTTGGGGGTTACATATATATATATATAAATACCCTTTTCGTTGATGATCACTGGTTGTTTCATGGACACGCTTGGGTCCATGTCGACAGTATTCGAAACGGAAGTGGATGAACTGCTGGGTCTGCTGGGTGTTTTGTTGGACCATCAACATGCAGTTTTCGGCCCTTGAAGGAAAGGCGACAACCCAAACCAAAGTCATTGGGGTTTAAGGAACGTACCTGAGTGTGGAAATCATTTCAAGGTTGGCTCCAACCCTTGGCAGGCTCCAGCAGCACGAGCAGCAGTGGCTTGACCTTCAAAGAATGTCAAGAAATCACCAGCACTTGAGCTGTGTCAAAAAGCTGATTGCATGTGTTTGCCTTGACCGTCTTGTGAAGAGTGTATGCACGAAGTCAATGAAGCATCCTCATACGGATGGATCTTCCAATCAATACAACAAGATGACAGGGTCCAAGCCATTTGGAAACTGGTCTCCAGCAGAAGGGAGTGTCACAACAGCCGGTGGTGTTAGCGTACAGCCGGGTTTTTGTCGTTCAGATATAGAAACGGGTCTGCTGAACTGATCAACGAACTAGCAGGATGGTTCATTGAAAAGGGTTCGTTCCCTCATGCGTGTATGACTCATATGACTCATCATGACTTGATTGATTCGTCGTTGGACCTAAAAAGTGCCGGCTCCTGCTTTCGTGTGTCCTGCCAGATCTTGGCCACCACTGTCCATCGCTGTCTGTCAGCATTGGCCCAAAATAGAACTACTCGGAGGCAGTAGTTGACGTAGATCATAGTATTGCTACCAGTAGCGCCTTGGATGCAGCTGGGGACGTTTTTGATTTTGTTCCCTTCCACACAGGTCAGCTTTGGGGTCCTGAGACAGCCCTCAGTTCTGTTCATCCATGTTCATCGCAGTATGTTTGACAGAACTCACAGTCTTCCAATGTCTTGCATTTCTGTCACACGCCATCTTTCAAAGATTACTTTCAGATACATTGACACTGCTGCTTAGAGTCAGTTGATCAGTTAAAAACGGATTGGTGGGTACACATTGTATTCCCAAGCTGACCCGAAAGGTCTCGAGATAATGATTGTCTTCCGGTAGTTGTTCACATTGGGTTCCCTGCGAGCTTGGTTTGGTCTTGAAGCGCTCCTCACCAGGTCAGCCATGTTCTTTGGCGGCTTTCCAGGAGGCGTGAGTGGGCTTGTCATTTCTTGCAGGCCTGTTGTATGGTTGTCAAAAGGTTTAGTTTGACACTGTTTAACACCAAGCTTTGACCTCTTTCCATGCGGACGTGTCTCAAAATATGGGAACTTTTATTAACTTTGATCGAGGGTGAAGGCTAGTGCGGCAAGGTGGTTAGGCTGGGGGTCCTCATGTTGCATGAAGGTGACTTCCCAGGCATGGGCGGCAAAGGAGGAGGCAGGGCCGAACATGCGTGCCGTGATTCACCTAAGAGGGAGAGAACTTGGTTCAGTGTGCTTGACACAAAAATTCAGGACAGCGCGGACAGATGCGGACAGAACAAAAAGCTTCAGTGTGGTATCATTCTTTGTGGTGAGGCCGATCAAAGAATGCCGACACCACAAAGTTCTACAAGCTCTTGGAAGTGGACAAGTCCCTCGGCGTTTCCTCAAGGCTAAGGCGGTAAAGGCGGTTAGGGCGGTGACAGCTCGCGGTTATGTAAGGTGAGGCTACCTCAGGTGGTCGTCGTCATTGGCTTACCCATTTAAACATGGGGTGTTGAGCTGATGGACTGTTCAAAGTCCTAGGATTTTTCTTTTTTCTCTAGATGAAGTTGTGCAGCTGTTCCATGTTGGACATTGGGCATACTCACCAGGCCATGATAAAATGGAGGTTCGCTGATGCTGAGGAGTGCAAGCGAAGGCGACATCAAGAAGGCAGCGGTTTGATGGTCAGCTTGGCTAGCTGCCGCAGTGTCGTGGAGCGACACTGTGGATCGACCCCTGTGGGACAGCTTCCAAGAATAGGAGTGACCTGGCAGTCTGGCAAGCAAGCATGTCACATTCTTTTCTTTTTGTTCCTAGTAGCTTCTTGCTCCTAGTAGTACGGCCAGGAGCCCCCAGTAGCGTCCTTGCTCCTAGTAGCGATGCCAGGAACCCCTAGTAGCTTCTTGTTCCTTTTTGGTGAACGGCTTGGTGTACCCTTGATGGTCTACAAACCCTGCACGAAAGGAGCGAGACAACGCACGGCCAGGCGTACCGACGGCTCGCTGTGAAGCATCACCCTGACAAGGCCCGACGGCTCGCTGTCAGGAAGGTGTTTGCATCCCTTTTTATTTTTTATCCTTTTTCATCGTGCAACCAAACACATTCCGTTTAATAAAAACAAATTCTTTAAACTATGCCTATGCCTTTTTTCATTCCAATCATTTCATTCCTATCCTCTCCTTGGCTGTTTCACTCCTGAGACCTGCTTCCAATGTGTTTCCACCCCTCCCGTGTTCCGCTGCGGCCAGGGCGGTGACCAGGAGAAGTTCAAGGAGATCACCCGAGCCTATGAGGTCGGAGCGGGTCGGAGCGGACGTGGCGACTGGATGCGACTGGTGTTGGCGGGTGGGGTGGATGGATGGGTTTCTTCCGAAAGGGCTGAAGAAGGCATGGCACTTAGGAAGGGCTGAAGACCCCAATAACAAGTCTCACTTGAGCGAGCCATGCCATGGGTCTCCGAATTGTTTTCGCTTTGCGTCTTAGTCTTCACAGTGTTTTGCAGCTAGCATTTTTGGCTTAAAGTGCTGAGTCTCAGCCCGTTCGATTCTTCTTTCGAACCTCAATTCATCATGGCCAAGAAGACCGCCATCGGCATTGACTTGGGTATCTTGGCATAGAGCCGTGCGAGACCAATGAGCCTGCATTTGGATAGAACGTGCATCAATTAGGGGACTTCCAACATCATAGCAGACCATACCTTTAGACTCCACACCCTTTGCCCCTACCCGTTTAACATGTACCCTTCTCCCGGCTTCCTCCTACTCACTGACCATCACTGACCTCAATCACGCGCTTGACTCACACACCTAAATCACCTACCTCACTCACACAGCGTACAACACGTACAACACGTTTCTTCTGGTCTAGATTGCCTTTGCTGCCGTGTGGCCCGACCCGTCGATGATGTGCCACTTCCTTTCCTTGTGGCTTTGTCAGTGGGGCTTTTGCCCCTACTTAAGCATCTGAGTTGGTCTCAGTGGGTAGTAAAACTCTTTATCGTTTCACATCCTGAAGCTTTGTCATTATGTTGTGTAAATTCAGGTACAACATACAGCTGTGTGGGCGTATGGAAGAATGACTCTTTGGCTTGTTTCAGGTTCTTTGCAATCGTTTTTGCGCTGTCTCAATTCAATTCAATGGGTCGTTGTGGTCGTTGTAATGGCAAACCTGTGTTGGTTTGCAAGTCCAAGGATGGTGTGGAGATTATCGCCAATGATCAGGGCAACAGAACCACTCCATCCTATGTTGGATTCACGGACACAGAGCGCTTGATTGGTGATGCAGCCAAGAATCAGGTGGCCCGAAATCCGGAGAACACAGTTCCTGACTGGAGAGATTAATGTATTTTCTGTGAACATTCAGTAGTTATCAATAATTGTTGTTGTTGTTGTCGTCCTCGTCATATTGTACCTGTCTGTCTGTGAACCGATTTTTTTTGCTTTTGGGGTGAGCATGTGAGGTGTTTGATGCCAAGCGCTTGATCGGCCGCAAGTTTGCAGATCCCGTCGTGCAGGCTGACATCAAATTGTGGCCATTTAAGGTTGAGAGTGGCCAGGGCGACAAGCCGATCATTGTCGTCAACGCTCAGGGAGAGCAGAAGAAATTTCACCCCGAAGAAATTTCCTCAATGGTCTTGCTCAAGATGAAGGAGACAGCGGAGGCTTATTTGGGCACCAAGGTGAATGATGCAGCCGCTAAGTCTTTGCAGAACACTTTCGACCTTTTTCCAGTGTTCTTTCTCTTTGGTTTTTGTTCAAGTTTGTTTGCTGTCCGAATAGCTTGCCTTTTCAAGTTTTTTTCTTCTAAGTTAGTATGTTTTTGGTGGCATATGACAGAGATAGGTGTGGCCCGGTTGAAATGGCCGGACAAAACACTTTTGAACAATTGGCCTCCAACAACATTCTCGCAAGAGCCAAACTGTTCACACCTGCCACCAACGGTAGATCCAAAGTTGCACGATCCAATGTTGCCGACCTTGTTTCATCTTGGCAGCTTTGCACGTGCACATGGACCAGGTTTCTTAAACGCTGAGTCTGACCGCTGGGGACAAAGCCGCTGCACAGAACCAACCGGAACTGAACAGGTGCTCCAAACACGCTTTGTGAACGCACGCTTTGTGTCCATACAGCTCTGCTGTGGAAGTCTCGTACATTTGATCGGCTTGGACAATGAAAGACTTAAGTGAAGTCTGCTTGGTGTCGCAACGATGCACCCAACAGAATCCAAGCAAGCCTGGGACACGTTCTTATTTTTTGGTGGCAGTACATTCAATCAATCAACTCAAGACAATTAGGGTTGAATCTTGGTGACCAGTTGAATCACCTTACCTTTTGATCATTTTGCCAAGGTTGTGACAGTGCCAGCATATTTCAACGACTCTCAGCGCCAGGCCACCAAAGATGCAGGGACCATTTCTGGTATGAATGTGCTGCGTATCATCAATGAGCCTACTGCTGCAGCCATTGCATATGGCCTTGACAAGAAAGGTGCAGGCGAACGCAATGTGTTGATCTTTGACATGGGCGGAGGCACGTTCGACGTGTCCCTCCTAACTATTGAGGATGGTATTTTTGAGGTGAAGGCCACTGCGGGCGACACCCACTTGGGTGGTGAGGACCAATTTTTTTGGGTGTTTGCCCGTTTAATGAACACTGCGGTTGTTGCTCACATATTGTGTACCCGACAGCCACAATGACTTGTTCTATATCCATATCCAGGTTAAACCACCGGCACACCAGTCAGCCCCCGTAGCAGCTTCTTGAGACACCAATGACCCGCTCACGCCTGTTCTGGCCAGGACTTTGACAACCGCTACTTGCTTGCAGTTGTGTTTAAGATAGTATTTTTGGCGTGTATGGGTGTATGGATTGTTTTGGTTGGTGAGGTTTGACCTGGGACCCCTGATGTATGTCAATAGATGTAGGCATATTGTAGTAGGGTGTCCAAAGATATGGCTGTGACTGAAAACAGAACACCCAAAAGCCCGCAGGTTTTTGATCGCTTTATCAATGTTTTCCACGTTGGACAGTACCCTGTTTTGAATGCCATAGCCGTATCAGAAGTATTGCGAAGTCAATTCTGAATCAACTCCTGGATCACAGGCCTCACGGGCCAGAATCCCTGCATCGTCCCACGCAGCCCGACCGAGGAATCGTCGACTTCTGCATTCAGGACTTCAAGCGCAAGAATCGGAACAAGGATATGTCAGGGAACCAGCGTGCCATCCGACGCTTGCGGACGCAGTGCGAGCGTGCCAAGCGCACGTTGTCTTCTTCTACTCAGGCGATGATTGAGATCGATTCTTTGTTTGAAGGAATTGACTATTCCTGCAATTTGTCCAGGGCTCGTTTTGAGGAGCTATGCATGGATTATTTCCGGAACTCGATAGGCCCCGTGGAGAAGTGCCTCAAGGATTCTGGAATTGACAAGAAGAGTGTCCACGATGTGGTGCTCGTGGGTGGTTCCACTCGCATCCCCAAGGTGCAGTCCATGATTCAGGAGTTCTTTAATGGTAAGGAGCCCAACAAGTCCATCAATCCAGATGAGGCCGTGGCATATGGAGCAGCAGTGCAAGCGGCCATTCTTTCGGGTGAGAGCTCTTCCGCTGTCCAAGACCTCTTGTTGTTGGATGTGACTCCTTTGTCCACGGGCCTGGAGACGGCAGGTGGCGTGATGACCAAGCTCATCGAAAGAAATACGACGATCCCCACAAAAAAAGGCACAGACGTTCACAACTTATGCAGATAACCAGCCAGGTGTATTGATCCAAGTCTTTGAGGGTGAGCGAACCATGACCAAGGACAACAACCTGCTTGGTAAGTTCAACTTGGATGGCATTCCTCCAGCCCCTCGTGGTGTGCCACAGATTGAGGTTACCTTTGACATTGATGCCAATGGCATTTTGAATGTGAGTGCCTCTGACAAGTCTACTCGCAAGTCGAACCAGATAACGATCACCAACGAGAAAGGGCGACTGTCACAGTCTGAAATTGATCGCATGGTCCAGGAGGCTGAGAAATTCAGAGTGGAGGATGAGCAAAACAAGCAGAATCTTTGCCGTGTTTCGTGACGTACGCACCCCCAGGGTAAACAACATCAGAAGTGGACCAATCCGGAAATTGAACAGTTGCAGGTGACTAGCGTGCCCAGAGCCAGGATAGAACACTTTTTCCCCAAACAGTTTACTGTTAGGGGTTCTCAATGCTTTAAAG